CACCCCTCTAGTCAGGCATCAACATCCCAACAGATCTCCTCTCTTCTGCTTCTACCAGCCTCATTCATTTTCCACAGAAAAGCTGAGCAATTTTTCAATGATGTAAAGCAGATTATATCACTGTCTGCTTAAAACTCCTCCATGACTTCCCATGACACTTTGAATTAAAGGTAAACTGCTATCACTCAGGATCTTTGTATCCATTAGACACTACTGGCCAACTGCCTAAGGGCTGAGATCTTCATGGACCTATAAAAACTGTTCCGGGGGGTTGGGGGGGGTGGTTAGTGGGGAAGAACTAACTCCAAAAAACTACAGTCAAAATTAATAAATGTTCGTGACTTCATAATATAATAATATGCCAACTAATGCTAAATATAAAGTCAATCTTTATGTAGTCATTTATGTATTTTATTTCAATGAAGGATGTGGGCTATAAGAGGAGTAGGTCCCCTACAGGGCTTCTAAAATAAGCTTCTTTTAAGGCTTTTATATAAGGTTCCACACAACCCCATCTGTGCTTACCTCTCCATGGTCTCCATGATGCTACTCTCCTATTTGCTCACTAAACTCAGCCAGGCAGCGTGACAAATTCCTACAATGTACCAAAATCTTTCTTGCTTTTCCCTTGGCCCCCCCATCCCTTTGCCTGACTGGCTCCTTCTCCTCCACTAGTTCTCAAAGTGTAACCTCCTCAAAGGGACCTTCCTGACCAATCCACCTAAAGTAGGCAGCCCCCCCATACCACCTTGCCTTATTTCCTCCATAACACTGTTTATGTGATCTTTCCCATTAAACTAGTAAGTTCCAGTAAGGCAGGAAAACTTATGTGTCTTGTTCTCTGTTGTATCCCTACGGCCTACTCCGGTAACTGGCCCAGAGCAGGCTTTAATAAATAGCTATTGAATGAATGAATAAATGAATGTAAACTTCATTTTCAAGGGAAGAGGGGCAAGCTAGTAAGATCTGTCTTGGACTCCATCTTGGGAGGCTGGAGGCACAAATCCTCCTTTGATTCTAGGCACCCAGATAGATTTAAAAAGGAATGTTTGGAGGTTTCTTCCAACAGAAGTTTTGATCAAAGCTCTTGTAACTTACCCTACTGGGGTGGGGGCAATGGGAACAAAAATGGGCTCAGAACTAGGTTGAAGGGAAAGGACGTGGTTTGGAGGAGATGCGTGGCGGGCCAGGTTGGGGCTCTTCGTTTGCACCCTCCCCTCCCCCAGATTCTAACGGCTCCACCCCTTCCTGTCTTCAGCTTGGAGCAAAGGGTGGCTTCGGCCTCCTTTCGGGCTCCGTGGACTACATCCTCGTAAATTATTCACGGAGTGGGAGGGCACTATGCCTGCCGGGGCTCTTACTATTCATGAGGAGGCGGAGTCTCCTTCCCGCGGGAGCTCCTGAGAAGGTTCTAAAATATTCATGAGGGAGGAGGGTACTATGGGAGCAGGGGCGTCTTGCTATTCGTGAGGGGGCGGGGCTTCCTTCCCGCTGGGGCTCCTGGGAGGATTCTAAAACATTCTTGAGGCGACAGGGGCGCCTGGGAGGCGGGAACGCAACTCGGGAGCCGACCGGAGCTGAACCGGCCGTCTACCCGGCGGGAAAACCTTGAGGAGATACTTTCTTTTTTAAACATTAAGAAATTTGAGGATGGTAGGGCAGACCAACTAAATCCCATTTGCCTGTGATTCCTTAGCCGGAAAACTGTCAAAATCTGTGGTAAAAAGAGATTTTTTCCCCCCAGTACTTACTTGGGATGGTTTCATCTTCTCGTGGACTGAAGGGGGTAAAAAATGCATCGCCATGTGGTTTGACTCTTCTGTCGGCCAGTTTCTCCTTTATGGCCTCCCTGGTTTACCTCTCTGAGGTGTTTGGGGCCAATGCCCGTGCAGATGTGGCGGGTCTCTTCTAGGGTTTGTTAGGTTAAAACAAAACAGAAATCGCGGCGAATTGCTGTGGGACGGTTTTCTCCGAAAGCGGGGGGGAAAATTCAGCCAAGAAGGCCCTCAAAGCCTCTCGCAGTCCCAAACGAGCGGGCTGGAACAGAGGCATCGAAACATTTTATTACTATTATTTCGGGCAGTGATTCTCATTCTCTTGAGGGATACGGGGGGTGGGGGTGGGGGG